TGATGATGATGCAATTTTGTCAAACAATTCGTGTTACGACAGTGATAGGTTTGAGGATGTTTCGGAAGTAATTTTCCGAGTATTAAACCAGGCTGAAGTGAATGCCTTAAATGAATTGAAGAAGATGTGTTGCACATACTTCTATTTTACTTCCGGTAATGTAAAATTTTGTGCACCGTGTACTATGAGATTACGAAGATTATTCTCAATGTTGCACGCTGAGCGAAAACATGACACCCGCGCCTATATACTGATTGAATGTTTATTCTGTGCGTCGTGTGGAGGCCCACTACATCAAATAATACCGTGTAATCTCTGTTCAGTTTGCACTGTTTGTGATTGATAGTGCTACGTGGCAAAAACATGGTTTCCGAAGGCTGTCTGTATTGCATATCAATAAAACTGCAGTTTATGCTTACAGCTTCTTTCATGTATTGCTTCTTTCTAACTTATCTGTGTACAAAACTCTAAATATTTTGTATAAAATCATTGTTGTGTTGCTAATTGCCGAAGGTGTCTGACTCAAGAGCCAGGAGTTTCAGGTTGAAATCAAGCGGTGGTAAGCAAATTTTCTATTTGTAGTTTTCGCATAATTTCTGAACGAGAACGCGCGAGGGAAAGAGACCGCGCGAACGAGAAGACGCGCGCGACCGTGGGACGGGGGGAGGGGAAACATCTACGAGGGGGAGATAACGCGAGCGGGAGCGTGCGTGTGACGTCACGCGGACTCCGCGGCGCGACGAAACGCGAACGCGGGTCCCCTCGCCTCGCGGCGCCGGAAAACGCGGTCGCCCCGCGGCGCCGGAAAACGCGGACCCCTCGCCCCGCGGCGCCGGAAAACGCGGACCCCCTCGCCCCACGGCGCCGGAAAACGCGGACTACCTCGCCCCGCGGCGCCCGAAAAAAGCGCCTCCCTTTCCTCTCTCCCGCGGCGCCCGAAAAAGCGGTTCCCCTTTTCCCCTCCCCCGCGACGCCCGAAAAATGCGGTTCCTTCCCCCGCGACGCCCGCGGTACCCCCCGCCCCCGCCCCCCGCGACGCCCGTGGTACCCTCCCGCCCCTCACCCCCCTCAGATCCCTTGGTCAGCATACCCATAGCTTACCTACTAACTGGCATATAATTCGACGCTTTACCAGCTACCATCGCTCCACCCGTTCCATTTTCTCCTTCTTCAGACGTGGGGTTAGGGCATAACAGATTTTCAATATCATTACGATTATTTAATTAATCGAATTTTTGTATTAATTCATTAATTCTGCCCTCGATATATGTGAGTAATTCGATATGTGTTAATCTTACATCGTATTCATTAACTTTTTTGCCTATTTTCCCGACCAACGATTGTAGTGGCGGAGAACGTAAATTATCATACAAAATCGGCGTTGCTTCTCGCGATCCTCTTCCTCTTCCTATTCCTATCAGTATACCTTCCCGAACAGACGCGGAAAGATTACCGAGCGCTTCAGTTACTATACTACCCGCGTTTGAGATTTGAGAAAACCTTTCTGCCCCCGCGCCGCCGTCTAACGACTGAACCGACTCGGCTAGCATGCCCTCACTCGTCGGGTTCCCCCTCTCACAATCAGATGGAGTAGGGAGCGTTTCATTGTTCGACGTGGCAGAGCCTCGAACGTTGGATATTTCATCTGATTTTCTTTTAATCCTTTAGTTCGCTTGACCTAGTCGTTCTCTTATTAGGCGGTGAGAAAAACATATTTGTCATGATTTCATCACATAAATTTTTGGAATTGCGTTAAATACGTTTGATAAGATAATATCTAATTTTACAACGAGTCCTGTATTATATCTTGCCAAACCTCAGTCAATAAATAATTTGTTGGAATAAATAATAGTTTATAATTGTGCCAATTGTCTAAATGATTTACATCAAATGGATCTTAATTACAATAATAAGTGAGAGTCACAAGTATAGCTGTTCGTATAAACGGTATAACGTTTGAATTTTCTATGAGCGAATATTCTCGGTTTTATGGAACATATTCTCTACAATTCTATTTTATTCAAATTTAATTACTACTTTACAATTTAACAGCCTTACTATACTACAAAATATTAGTTATTTATAATTCCAACGTGCCCCACGTTGGGCGTCAAATGAAACAGGATTCGTGAATCCACACCTGTCGCGGCCGGGTCCCTTAGCTGACAGGGCTCTAATATATTTACATTAACGTTACTGATTGATAAATTAAACAAAATTTTGGGCGCCAATCGGTTTTATTGGAACCGATAAACCTTGACTAATATGAGACAACATCAGGCGAGATCAGTTGGTGGACCCAAGGAAAATAGATTTACAAGAAGTTGAGATAAAGAATATATAAATTTATTTTACTTACGGATATCCAATTTTACTGACGGAATTCTACAATTGTTCACACAGGCTCTCTGGCGACCGACGCCATCCAAATTTGTGATCATTCCCGAAACACTAATAAAATACTATTATACAATTCACTTAAATATACTAATTTACAATTGAGCAGATTGAGCTCCCCAAAATTTACAATTAACTCCTCGAAGGCCGCTCGCTTCAACAGACGAAAGGGAAGTGTCTTTTCCCTTCTTTCTGATCGCTACGTGGCCCGTTTTCCTCTCGCTGGGTTCTCTACTCGATAGAGATCGATATTTGCGATCTTTCCATGCACGCGTTTCCGAAACTCGACGGCGCTTGCTAATACGCGCGAAATTAAACGAACACTTAAGACACTAAACCACATAAACATGCAGACACAAGGATTGAGGACTAACATCAAGCGTGAAGCTTTCGACAATCCTTCGAGGAGTAAAGCGTTGACGTCGAGAGAAATCTTACTATCTTACTTTTCTGTCACAATCTTTCTGAAGGATTGCTCTATAGGACAGTGAAAACCGCATCCAAAATCCATTTAGTAGTTTCAGAGAAAATCGTAGACATACATACATACTCGCCGAATTGAGAACCTTCCTTCTTTTTGAAGTCGGTTAAAGACAATTGGTTAATTCCTTACATTATTAAGTAATTATACAATTTTTCAATATTTCTATTTTAAATAATTTTTAAATATTAATAATTTCTTAAATTTTAAATTATATATATTTACAGAAGATGATTCGATTCCGTTATGAGAAGAATGAAACAGACAGTGATATTACTGAAGAATCAGATGATGAATCTGAAAATATAAACCTCTACTCGGATGAAAGTTCAGATATATTTTCATATGAAAGGATAATGATTACTGAAATTACTAAAAATACAAATGATAAATCTAATTATAAATTTAATTATAATATCAAGAGACACGGTAGTGTCTCGCGCCAAGTACACGCGGAGCGAGACCGACCGTGACTCTTTTACGCGACGCGACGGGTTGCGAGTACCCGAGATGTTGAGATCTCGATAACGAGTGAACAGATCAAGTTCTAAGTAGACTGGATCGATAGCGTGGGGGGCACGTAGGGGGGGGGGGGGGGTTTCTCTCATAATATTCCGCTACGTGCCCTACGAGCGGAGATATTGCGACGCAAAGTCCAAATGTGAAAATTTTTTATTGGGATACGTCGTCGTCTGCGTCGACCGCTCTCATCTCAATATTATTATGATTATCAGAGAAACGTCACTTTCACTTTTTTGATACAATAAACGTGCGATTTCAAATATTATTTGTAACAATAAAGTAAAAAATAATGTTCTATGATAAATATAGGTAATTTGCTTATATATTTGATTCTCTCGGGTGATAGTTTTTTGAGTCTGGCAAAGCCTTTGTCCCTCAAAGCGGCTGCCAAACAACTTTTTTTTTATTTTTAAACTGTAATTGACCACCACGTCGAATTTCGGGTTTAATAAAAATTATTCCCGAAGGTCACTTTTCATTATATGAGGAATAGGACCAATATACGAGCATTAATCGATGTTACAACAAATTTAAATTATATCCAGATTTATTGAATTTACGTTTTGTACCGTACTCGGATTTCATCAGAATTGTCAATGAAGCGAATAAATTAATTATTAACATATATAGGGGTCAAAACTCAATCAATTAAACATGGAGACGTACCGCAATCACAAAGTCAAAAATTTAACATTATATAACGCTTTCTTCTCAAGTCAGTCACGCTCCAATTAAATTTCCGTTTTATTGAGTATATCGTCGTCCCGTGGAGACCCATGCAAGTCCACAATTTTGAAAGGTACCATACATTTCTGGACCATTTTAGTGGCAAATAAGTGTTCAAAGATGACGAGAACCATGACAGGCAAATAATTCTATGGCATCAGTATAACACATCTGATCTGTGCGAAGAATCAGTTCGCGATGATCTCTGCTTCCCGTAGTGTTCATTGGGTAATACTAATGTTGGCGGTGATTGAATGCACAAAAATGCATAGGTAACTTTGATAAGCCATACCTCGGCGAAAAAAAATCGTACGGACTTAATTATTTTTTTAATTTGCAGGTAAAAGTTCATATTTTACGATGGTTGCCATGATAGTTACGAAAAAAATTCATTCTTCTCCGTAGAATGTGTCAAAGTATGCAATTTTTTGGAGACGTAACACGTCCTTACTTTTGGAAGAACAGCAGGAGGGGGGAAAGTTAAATTCAAAATCTAACAATGGTTCCTTAAAGTACAGACTTCGCCCTTTAAAATAAAAAAAATCTTTCAGATATGACAATTTTTCGCGGAGTTATGCTTATTTGAAGTTGGGCAAATTTTTGACGTAAATTGTTGTTGCGATAATTTTGTTGCCCAGTGTAGACAGTACACATGTAAGTGGGGGAGGGATTACCGTTCCTTTCCCGCAAATAGCAGAATTGTAATAAATTCGTACTTATTTGTAATAAATCTTTATATATCTTTGTGTATCTAAAGCAAATCTCATAAACTATTATTTTTTTTACTGAATATAAACAAATTCAAATTTACATGTACGCAGGAATATGAATCTGAGACGTAAAAATCACGCAATATACTTTTTTTTAGCTGTGTCCATGAATATATGGATATATATTCGGAAATACGATCAGAGAACACGACTAAGTTAATAGAGACACCGTTTGGTGGACGATTCTGTGGACCAATTCCACCACGTAGACGGGTTTCTCTGTATCAAGGAATTGCTCTCAGTTTCTTCACCGATAAGAATATCACGCAGCCGAACATTTTCAGCGGTATTTACAGATTTATTAACGCCTGTAAGTCTTTATACTATTTTTAAGACATTTTATTGATAATGTGTCTGTATTAAATATTTGCAGTCGAATTTCCGTATTCGCAACACATTAAAATTGAACGATATCTTTTGCTTCGCTTTTATTTCCATTTCAATGGGATATGCGCAGCATGAAAATGCTTATAGGTACATAGGTAGACCAGGATTAAAATTGCTGTCTTTTTTTAATGACTTTCTATAAACAAACTGTAAGTATAAATGCCGTAAAAGATTTTTAAAAAATTGCATGTTATATACAGGGTATTCTATTTTAATTTGAACAGTTAAATATCTCGATATCATGTGGTTTTAGAAAAAAATGTTTCAGACAGAAGTTGGTTTCAAGGAGAACATAATAAAAGATGGTGGCAATGATTTGACCTTGGATAGTCGTTTGAAGGTCACGTGAAGGTCACTGTGGCTACTCCAATAGCCACAAGGTTATCCTCCGCTTCAAAAGCCACGGAATTTTCTTTCGTACGCCACGTGGTTATTTTTGCCTACGACCGTGGGACAGCTTTAAGTCACTCTGACCACACGTTTGACAGGCCACGCGTTCCATTGCAAGTAAAATCTTCGAAGAGTTTCTGATAGATGAAAGTGATTCTTGCATTTAAAATGCAACCACGAAGTGGATATTAAGAAAACCGAATTCGGTAAAAATCGAGCAAGACAAATTGAGCTATAGGGTGACCAAAGGTTTCAATCACGTTCCGCTTTTGCCGTAAGCAGATTCCTTTTCGCTTCGACGAGGAAGGAATCACTAAGAGGCACCAGACGCAGCTCCAAGACAAGCTGTCCAGCAACCTATATCGCCTCCTAGCGCTAGTCATCCAGCTTTCGGCGCTCAGTCGCCGTCCTCTGGCGCTAGATGCCTAGCCTCTGGCGCTAGGTGCCCAGTCTCCGGCTCTAAGCCAACTCCGGGCGCTAGTCGCCCTTCCTCCAGCTCTAAGCTAACTCTTGGCGCTAGTCGCCCTTTCTTTGGCTCTCTGTCGACTTCTAATGCTAATCGCTCAGCCTCTAGCACTCAGCTACCGACTTCGGGTGTTGGTCGATAAAATCGAAACTTTTCACCAATTATTGACGCTAATTATTATCAGTACCAATCAATACCAATTATCGTCCAGCCTCGGGAGAACGAACACCTCCCAGAAAGCGGCCTTTCTAAATCAAGACTTTAACGCCGAGCTCCGAAGGGTCTACTCCGCCGAATCGGTGGGTAATTCCGCCATTTATTTCTCCACTTCTTTTCTTTCCTGTCAGAAAAGTTACCGAGGGAACCCAAACAGTTGGAACGCAACTCAAGAAAAAACCGGAGCATTGCGACGCAGACCAAACGCTGAGGCGGCAGAAGAAGTAATAAGTAATGTTGTTAAGCAAGATTTCAAAGATAAAATGTATTCAAAGAATTAAGGGGGAATATATACCTAGAAGCGAAAAAAAAGGTAGTTTTCGGGAATTTTTTTCAGGAGAACTATTGGAATTGTCGGGTCGGGGTTTTTTCTAATTAAAAATACACACTTTCAAAAATCTTTTAAATTTTTTTTATTAACAAATGTTGCAAATTTACGGAGTACTGGAGTCGTCTACGGAGTGCCGTAAAAAAAGACGGTACCCAGCGGCGCTTCGTCAAAAATCATCTAAAACAAAAAAATCAAACAAGAAATGAAAATAGATACTATTATCTTTGGCGTGACGTAGCCGATTTTAAAAATATTGATGTTTTACAAAATGACGGGCGCTTGAACTCAACGTAGCGATCTTGAAAATCGACTTCTGGTGCTAATCGCTCAGCCTCTAGCACTCAGCTACCGACTTCGGGTGTTGGTCGATAAAATCGAAACTTTTCACCAATTATTGACGCTAATTATTATCAGTACCAATCAATTGGGGATCTTGAAAATCGCTACGTTGAGTTCAAGCGTCCGCCATTTTGTAAAAAATCAATATTTTTAAAATCGGCTACGTCACGCCAAAGATAATAGTATCTATTTTTATTTCCTGTTTGATTTTTTTGTTTTAGATGATTTTTGACGAAGCGCCGCTGGGTATCGTCTTTTTTTACGGCACTCCGTAGACGACTCCAGTACTCCGTGAATTTGCAACATTTTTTAATAAAAAAATTTTAAAAATTCTTGAAAGTGTGTATTTTTAACTAGAAAAAACCCCGACCAGACAATTTCAATAGTTTCCCTGAAAAAAATTCCCAAAAATTACCTTTTTTTTTCTAGGTGTATATTCCCCCTTAATAAAACGTTATTATGAGTTAAATATCTTATAATTAGCGATTTATTAAAGGAAAGTAAGCGTTTTTCTCGGTTTTCCAAAGTTACCTTCAATTTCTTAAATAGAATAACCTCCTATTTATCATTGCATATTTTTGTAGCCCTTGTCGAAACATTTTCAAAACATTATAATAAAGCTCTTTTTCGTTAAGAATTTCCTGAGATGCTTTAAACTTTGTCATGATATTTTTAATATAAAATATGAAGTATCTCGTAGTATTCACTTTTCGATGATTTAATACTTTTATACGTAAAATAATGAAAAAATTAATTGTTGTGAAAAAAGAAAGAAACAAAACAAATCATTTTAAAGGTTGCATTTTGAACACATTTAATTTTACAAAATTGCAAATGTAAAAATTAATATTATTATATTAATATTATTAGGATTCCCCCGTTAGCCTTCGGCGGGGGAGCAGGTGGAAAGTTCGGAAAGGAGAAATAGGGTCGAAAACAAAGTTGTGTGAAAGGGTGGAGGTGCAGGATTAAAAGAGGGTGTGAAGGAGGTGGAGAGGAAGCGGTGGAATTGGAGGTGAGGATAGAATCGAGGTGAAGCGGCCAGAAATCGAGGGAGAAGAAGAGAGTTGAAAGTGAGGTTTTGATGATGCGGCGAGAGGAACAGGAAGAGAAGGGGCAGAGACGGAAGAGGAGAGAGAATCGAGAGAGGGAGAGGTGGCAAGGAGCAGGGTCTAACCGGTCGGAGTGGTGACGCGTGGCACGTTGGTTGGCTGGCGAGGAGAACGGTGGAAGTAGACATCACTGGCGGTCCGGCCCAGAGCGGGGTGCCGGCTGCCTCAAAAAGGTAGGTTGGTACCACTGCAGGGCGGCGAGACTGGCAGCGGAATTAGCGTGCAGAGCGGGCCGGTAAGGAAGAGAGAGGGGATACCGGTGAAAGAGGAGATGGCGCGAGAGAAGATGGGCAAACGCGCAACGCGCATCAGCGCGCCAACGATAGAGGGTCGAGGTTGGAGATCGAGAGATCGAGAGAGGCGGGGTCGACGGAGCGTAGCGAGCGCGCGGTGAGGCACGTGGTGACAGTAGAGAGAGGAGAAAGTGTGAAAAAGCTGCGAGAAAAGCAGGAAAGCAGTGAAGCAATAAAGAGGGTAAAAAAAAGCGGGAGAAAAGAAGAAAAGGAGTGGGCAGGTGAAAGGTGAACAAGTAAGTGAGGGAGAAGGAGTGAGATAGAAGGCGCGCACACACACGGACACGCAGGGAGGTTAAAAGGGTCTGGGAAAGAAGCGGGGAGGGAGGGAGAGAAGTTCTGATAGTGGAGTGGGAGGAGAAGGAGGGAGCGGAGCTGTTAGGAAGGTGTGGGCTATTTAGGCAGAGGAGGGGGATAAGGGTGGACAAGGACCTGACCATATGAGTTACAGCGAGGACCTAGAGTGCCGAGAATTAATTGTAGGAAGAGAGTGAAAGAAGGCAGAAAAGCGGACGGAGGGCGGAAGCAGAGAGTCAATAGAATTTGGGTGGAAGGAAAGTAGATTGTGTGGAACGAGGATGAGGGGAAACAGGAGGAGAAGTAAGGGAAGGGGGGTCGGGGGTCGAAAAAGAGGAGAGAGGAGAGGGAGGCGAAGGGAAAAAAGAAGGAGGTTACCCCTGTGTTACAGAGGCGGGAGCGGTGAGGAGGCGGAGAGCTGAGGAGTTGAAGCACGGAAAGAGGGATCCAACGGAAGTCCAACAGAAGAAGCGGCCAGGAGGAAGAAAAGGAGAGGCAGGGTCCGAAAGAGTGAGGGGTATCAGGATGTAAAGGGTCGCACGCGGCCAGGTCGGGTATAAGGGGATTGGTATTTGTAAGAGGTTTGGGATCGTTCCTCACAAAAACGCCTTGTAAACCCTGCGGGGATATACAATAAACTCATACATACATATTAATATTATTATTAATATTATTATTCGATTTCTTTCATTATCCTACGTATAAAGGTATCAAGGTAAAATCATCGAAAAGTGATTACTTTACGATATATTTCATATTTTACATAAAAAATATCATAATAAAATTTAAAATATTTAAGGAAATTCTAAACAAAAAAGAGCTTTATTATTATTTTGAAAAGCTTTCAAGGTAAGCTACAAGAGTATGCAATGGAAAATGGGGTTTTATTTAAGAAATAAAAGGTGACTTTCACGTGACCTTCAAAAGACTATCCAAGATCGAATTGTTGCCACCATTATTATGTCTTTCTTGAAACCATACAACTTTTGTCAATATAGTTATTTGTGTAACAAGTGCAGGAAGTTGAGAATTGGACACGAGTGCGGAATGGACGCACGAGCCGAAGGCGAGTCCACTTCGCACCCGTGTCCAATTCTCAACTTCCCGCACTTGTTACACAAATAACTATTATGCAACACGTGCATGGAAAGTGCCCCATTACGCACGCTACGCGTGCGTGATAGACCACTTTCCAGGCACTTGCAACATAAAATAGGGAGTGTAAGCCGTGTGTAAAGATGAAAATTCCCGGGTGCGGTTACCGCACTCGCCTTCGGCTCGTGCGTAAACTCCACACCCGGGAATTTTCATCTTACCTCACTTGTTACACAAATAACTATTAATAAATTGTTAAAAAGAAGTTTATTATACATTTCGGTACATTTTTGTAGTCAGAAAATTGTAAAGAAGACCAAAGAATTATCTACAAAAATGTAACAAAACTAATAGGCATTATTTTCAGAATTTATTAAAATATAC